CCAGTGGGGCCGCCGAATGGATGGACGAAGCCTGCAGCTCGCGGACACATATGCTGACACTCCAGGGCTGGGCCCCAGCAGAGCCGCTATGTGGCATGGCTCCAAAGACGGCAGGGCCAGGCTTGCTCGCCCTTCAAGCCTGCGCTCTGCTGGGAGACACGTCCCACCTGCCTGGACATTTGCTCACCTGGTTCTCACTCTGGAGAAGACATCTCTCCCCTGAACACGGGTGTCCCCCTCTCCCTCCATATCTTCCTACAAGACCTTTGTTCGAGAAAAACTATCTTGCTTCACGCGCGCGTGTGTGCGCGCACACACACGGACACACACATGCACACACAAGCATACACACACAAACACACACACACACAAAGACACATACATGCACACACGCCACACACACGCACACACACACACATGCGCACACACGCACACATACACAGGCAGCAGGAGAGCATTTTCTCTGAGGAAGAAAAGCCAACTTTTTTTCTTTTTTCTTTTTTTTGCTTTTTGGGTTACACCCAGCAACACACAGGTGTTATTCCTGGCTCTGTACTCAGGAATTACTCCTGGTGGTGCTCAGGGGACTCTATGGGATACTGGGAATCAAACCCCGGTCGGCCGCGTGCAAGGCAAACACCCTACCTGCTGAGCTGTCACTCCAGCCCCGAAAAGTCAACTTTTAACCCTCAGAGACAAAAGCACTGGGGACTGGAGGACAGAACAGTGGGGAGGGCACCTGGCAGGCAGCCTTGGCCGACGGCGCCTGGGAGCCATCCCCGACAGACACAAAACACCCTTGCGGGGGGCTGGAGTGATAGTACAGCGGGTAGGGAGTTTGCCTTGCACGCGGCCGATCCGGGTTTGATTCCCAGCATCCCATATGGTTCCCTGAGCACCACCAGGAGTGATTCCTGAGTGCAAAGCCAGGAGTAACCCCAGTGCATAGCCGGGTGTAACCCAAAAAGAAAAAAAACACCCCTAAGTTTGTCTGGGGGCCACAGGGCAGTGCTCAGGGTTTCCTCCTGGTCTGACTCAAACTCTCCTGGCTGGGCTCAGGGCACCATCAGAGTAGCGGGACTCATCCAAGGCAAGTGACCTGCCCACTGTGTTGTACAGCCACTCTAACTCAAGTGGGGAAATGTCTTGTTGCCCCAAACCACGTGTGACCCACTGGACTGGCTGGTCACTCCTGAGAGTGGCAGCAGCCGCCCAGCCAGGTCTGACCTCCAGGGCTCAGGATGCAGCTGGGAAGGGACGTGGGAACTCCCCAGCATCCTTCCCGCCGCAGAGGCCAGAGCCCGGGCAGCAAATGCCAACGAGCTGCCTGGCGCTTGGGGAGGCATGGACTGGGCCTTCTGGGGCCCAAGAGGGGAGGGCAGGGCAGGGCGATGCGTGCGGGACAGACTCCGACTCTGCTCCCCAGCACCTCAAAACCAGAGAGCCTGGCCCAGCCTCCCGCTGGTCCCCACACAGGGGCTTGCTGGGAGTCCCCAAGGGCAGCGTTGGGCCTGGGCGGGGTATTCCGCTGGCAGGACACCCAGACAAATGGGTGCCACCGGCGGCAGGGGTCAGCCAGGCGAGCCACAGCTCTGAGCCCGGGCCTGGGGTTTCCAGATTGCCCAAGCCCTCAGGAGCCGGGTCGAGGGGAAGTCACAAGGAGAGGGCCAGGGACACAGAGTGACCGGCCACGGACTGGGGGGACCTGCACCGGTCAGGCCTGCCACCAACTTCCCCCTGGATGTGGGAAAAACAACTTCCCGCATCTGAAAAAGGAAGCGAGAGACTGGCCAGAGGTGGGGCCGCAGCTGGGCCAGAGCCTGGCAGCCGCGACCTCAAAACCCAGTGGCCGCGACCCCAGAGTCTGGCAGCCACGACCCCACACCTTTGCAGCTGCAACCCCATACCCTGGCGGCCGCGACCCCAGAAGCTGGAAGCCACGATCCCAGAGCCTGACAGCCTATGACCCCAGGGCCTGGCACCCGTGGGACAGAGGCTGAGGTTGCCCCGACACAGGCTCTGCCCGCGCCCAAGGCCATCTGTCCCTAAGAAGGGAGGACCCGGCCAGCACCGGGCAGACAGGAGCACAACCACTGGACTGAAGGCCACGGTTATGCACCCAGCACTCAGGAGGTGCCCTGTGGGAGGGACACATAGCCGGGTGGCTGTGGGTGCAGGGCCCGTCAAGCAGGGTAAGAGCTGGCCGAGAAGGTCACCAGGGGCCAAGGCTACCCAGAGGTCCATGAGGCTCTGCCGTGGCTCTGCTCACTTGGGTGGGAGAGTGACCACAGAGACATGAACGGGAACAGGACGGTCTCTGACGGTCTCCGAACATTCCCCCAAGAAGAGCACTCGAAGCCCCAAGTCAGAGCTCTGGGACAGACCCAGTGTGGGTGACCACTGTCAGCTTTTGCCCCTTAATGACAGAAGGGCTGGGCCTGGTAGACAGGACAGTGAGGAGGGCACTTGCCTTGTACGTGGCTGCCCTGGGCTTGATCCCCAGCACCCCATCTGGTCCCCTAAGCTCCGGGAGTGACCCATGGTCCAAAACCCCCAAAAATGAAAAGATGAAAGTGGGGGAGGTGTTTTCCCGAATAGCTTATTACCCCACATCCCGCTTCGGCCACCTACTACCCCGCCACACCACTGTCGCAATGCCGCCAGGAAAGTCAGGCCCCCACACCCGGCACATGCCTGCCACTGAGCAACTACCCCCGCCACGCTTCCGGTGCCTTGGCATGTCATGCCCATTGCCATGATTCATGGGAACTAAGTCGCTGGTCCGGCGTGTACCACTGGCAGCTCACACTTGAACGTGGTTTATAACATGATGCCACCACATTCCCGTGCAAGCCACCGGCAGTTCGCATCTGTGTCACTCTGTCCAAGAAGAGACGGTGGAAAGTTCTCGAAGGGCTTCCCTGAGCGTGAGCTCCCCCAGAGCGAGACAGCGCTGGGCCCCTGGTGGCCCCACCAAGCACTCGCCTATGTGTGGAGCCTGCGGGAGTGTACCCCGGTCCTCGAGTCCCCGTCTCCGCGTGCAAGCGGCCACACTCGCCTGCACCCTGGGCTCGTGGCTCTGGTCTCTGATGGGGACAGGCTGTGTCAGTGAGTCCCTTTCTGGAACCTGTGGATTCGTGTGTGTTGCCAAAGGGAGGGGGGGCATTTGGGGAGCTTCGGTGGGGGGTGTTTGGGGAGCTTCGTTGGGCCCCCATTCTCCTTCCAGGGACCCCAACACAGCCTCTCTGGCTGCAGGCTGTGTCCTGTGACAAAGCCGGGGAGGATGCCATCTGCCCACTGCCCTCTCCCCTCCGGACAGCCGGGGCCCAGGCACCCGCCTCTCTCGCCTGAGCACTGGGGGGTGGGGGGCGGCGAAACCAGGTGTGCGGGTACCCACTACACTGCCTCAGCCGAGAGGGGCGCCCATGGTGGTCCGGCTACTTCCGGGCTCTCCTGGCTCTGGGCCTGAGTGGGCCAAGACAGAACATGTGTCATCACCACAACCCACAACTGCCTCCAGTCACCCCTGCACGGCAGCCCGGGAGGAAGGAGGAGTCCAGTCTCTGCATGAGCTCAGGGCACCCAGGTGCGGAGCAGACCGGCTCTGCAGGGGGGTTCTCGGCCCAGGGCCACGCGGGTGAGGTGGGGTGGGGTGGCCCGGGACCTCTGTTTGGCTGGATGCCAGCGGCGAGGTCTGTCTTGCCCCTTGTCCTGGTCCTCTGGGTGTCCTCTTCACTTCCCCCTGCTGTGGCCGACATGGACACAGACAGGCCCAGGGCCTCCCGCCAGCCCTGCAGCATCCCTGAGCGGGGGGTCAGGGCTCCTCAAAGGGGTCTGAGTCAGGGCTGGGGCGATAGCACAGCAGGGAGGCAGGGAGGGCTATCTGCCTTGCATGCAACTGACCCGGGTTCGTCATCAGCATCACACACGGTCCTCTGAGCACTGTCAGGAGTGATTCCTGAATGCAGAGCCAGGAGGAACCCCAATTAACCCCTGAACATCACCGGGTGTGACCCAAAAAGAAAAAAAGGGGGGATCTGAGTCAAACCAGTGGAACCCAGCCTCCCCAGCCCCAGGTGCCCGCCCACACGCAACTCTGCACCTCCTGGCAGCAGGAGTTCCTCCCTGAAAGAACAAGCCCCGAGCAGAATTGAAACTTGGGCTGGGGAGAAAGCGAAGGCTGAACCTGACTATGGCGCCCTGTGCCCTGGGCTCTGGCGGGGGGGGAGGGGGGGGGTGACCCAGGACTCTGGCAGTGGGGGGATCTGGCCCAGACTCTGGCAGCAGGTGAGTCCGACCCAGACCCGGGCCCTGAATGTCTGGCAGTGGCCTCGGTGGGCCCAGCACTCCAGGGCTCTCAAGAGGGGACCTCAAGTCACCCCGAGGCTGCTTGGACCTCCCCCCAGACAAAGGTTTCTAGACTAAGTCTTTGGCCGTCTATAGGGGCTGGCAGGGGCAGCTGAAGGCTGGGCCCTGTGGGCACAGAGAACAGGACAGGGGCACCTGCCCCACCACAGGTGGTCTTGGTGCCAGCCTCTGTCATCCCCCCCCCCCCCACACACACACACACACACACACGGTCACTCCGAGCGAGCCCAGAGCCAGAAATAACCCCAGGTGTGGTCCAAACACCACCCAAAATAAACGTCCCAAGTTTCCAAAGCTCTCGGGACCCTGCCAAGCGGTTCAGCCTGCTCGCTCCGCCGTGTGGGGAAAGGGAACCGGTTCTGTCACAACGCCCGGACCCAGATAACGGGCGGTTCTGCGCGCACTCACACCAGTGCCCGCTCCAAAGCCTTGGCCCGGCCCGCGCCCTCCCGGGACAGCGGGGCTCGGGGCTGCTGGCGTGACCACTGCCCTCCTGTCCACTGCCCTCCTGGGACAGCGGGACGCGGGGCGGCCGGCGCGGTCACTCCCGCCCGGACAGCAGGGCGCGGGGCGCGGGTGGCCGGCGCGGTCACTCCGGCCGGACGCGGTCGCGGGCGCCCCCCGAGGCTCACCCGCCGTGTCCCAGATGGAGAGGCTGTAGGAGCGCCACTGCTTCAGGTAGAAGGCGCCGCCCACCGTGCTGACCGTGTCCTGGAAACGCCGCTCGATGTAGCGCTGCAGCAGCGACGTCTTGCCCACGTTCATGTCCCCCAGCAGCACGATCTTGCCGTCGGGCTTCCGCATCCTGCACGCGCCCGCGTCCAGCACGCGACCCCTGCCCAGGACCCGTCGGGGCCCTCCGCGAGCGCGGAAGAAAACGCGAGCCGCCCCGCCGACCCGGGCTCAGAGTCCGCCGGCCACGCCCCCTCCCATCCGGCCCCGCCCCGTCCGTGGCCCGGCCACGCCCCTCCCATCCGGCCCCACCCCCTACCTGGCCGCTGGAGCCCCGCCCCGCCTACAGCCCGGCCAGGACCCTGACACCCGGCCACGCCCCTACCTGGACGCTGGAGCCCCGCCCCGCCCACAGCCCGGCCAGGACCCTGCCACCCGGCCACGCCCCTACCTGGCCGCTAGAGCCCAGCCCCGCCCACAGCCCGGCCACGCCCCTCCCGGGCCTCCAGACCCACCTGCCGGGGCCACGCCCCGTGCCTGCCTCCAGCCGCCCTGCTCCTCCCACTACCCCGGACACGCCCCGCCCCGTTCATAACTCCACCCGCCTCCCCCAAGGCCCCTCGCACGCAGCTTAACCCAGACCCCGCCCCGCACCTGCCCTCCTGGGCCCCGCCCCGCACCTGCCCTGCAGCCCCATCAGCCCTGCACCTGCCCTCCTGGGCCCCGACCCGCACCTGCCCTCCTGGGTCCTGCCCCGCCCCTACCCTGCTTGCCCCCCCCCCCCCGCCCTTCCTCCAATCTCTCTGAGACCCCTTCACTCTCGGGGACCCTACGCAGGCCCTCTCCCCGCACCCGACCCCCGACACCTTTTCCCCCGACCGGCCCGAGGGCAGGAGGGGTGCAGGAGGCTCGCAGCGCGCCCCCCAACCAGGGTCGGTAGGAGCAGCTGGGATCGTCCGCCCGGGCACTGCGCCTCTTTAGGGAGCTGGGGGAGGGGCGGGCTCCCGGCCCCCTGGGGTCCGTTTAGTCCTTGAGACCTCGGAGCCCAGCTGTGAAGCTGCGGCTTTCACCTCTTCACGGGCGGCCTTGGAATGTGGCTCAGGGCTGAGCGCCGACAAGGTGCTGGAGCCGCGGACACGGCCACGGGCACGGACACAGGCCGCAGCCTCCGGGGTGGGCGCGCGGGGACAGGCGGCCTCTATCTGGGGAATGACCTGCTCCGTGCGGCTCCTCCCCCAGGGCCCGGCGTCGGTCCAGTGGCTTTTGGCGTTTGTCCTTGCTCGTCCAGTACAAGCCCAGCCCTGGGCCTGGGGCCCACAGCTGGGGCCATAAGGGACAGTGATCAGATCCCAGGCGGCTTGTCTCCTGGCCCTCCCAGGGAGGTCGGGGCTCCTGAATCAGAGGTGGCGGTGGGGGGGCTGCAGGTGCGTCCCACCTGCCCTTCCGTGCCTGGCCCAGCTTGGGCCCTTCCCCCTGCCCAGGACGCGCAGATGCAGCAGGACTCACTGAACTCCTGTACTGTGCCCAACACTCACCTTCTCCCCGCCCCCCACTCCTGCCTGTGCTCACTCCCTGGCCATCTGCTTCCGCCGGACACTAGCGTCCTGGACACACAGGTCCCTCTCCTCACATAGCAACGCTCTATCTACCACATGCTGCACCCCAGGCCCTGCTGCTTGCCACAGAGCCATGGAGGGTACCACATGTGTGCCAGGGGTACAGGGGCTGGGCACGCTGCATCAGTGCGGGGTGGGGGTGCAGGGAGAGGCAGGGCCCACGCATGCTTCTCTGGCCTGTTTGGGTTTGGGGACCACCCTGCAGTTGCTCAGGGCTTGCTCAGGGATCGTTCCTTGCAGGCTTGGGGAGTCTGGGGGTGCTGGGGGTTAAGCCGGGGCCAACTCCCTCCAGGCCAGCTAAACACCCTACCCCTGAACTACCGCCCAGCCCCAGGGAGAGCTTGTTCTAAATTTTGATGCAGAAAAATAGTAACATTTTCCATAGAAAGTTTGTTCTAAAACTTAAAATTGTCCAGTACTCTGAGCAAGAGAAGTGAGCCAGAAGGGAGGCGCCCTGGGAGACCTCGCCCGCAGACGCTGAGTGGCTCTGGCCAAGGCCTGGTCAGCGGCCACCCGCAGGCCGGATTCCCTGTTGGCCTCCAAGGCTGCGGTGACGATTGGTTACACACAGTCGGCCACACAGATTGGTTACACACAGTCGGCTTCTTTCTTGGGGTCTGAGGGCCTCAGAGTGAGCCCTGGGGCGGGGATGGAACTGGGAGCCGCGGGAGCTTCAGGGGGCTGCACCAAGGCAAGCCCTGCCCACAGTCTCTCGGGCCTTGGCGCCTCCCTCCATCCTCCACCACCTTTGTATCCTGTTAAATCTCCGCGATACACAGTTGCAGCGTTGTCCTGCTTGGGCTTCAGTCACACGGACTCCCGCACCCTCCCGCTGGTGTGTATCCCAACACCCAGGCAACCCCGCCCAACCAGCGCCAAGGCAAGCCCAGTGCCAAGGCAAGCGCTTAGCTCGCCCTCCAGACCTCTCTCCCTCCCCCTCTCTCTCCCTTTCCCTCCCTGTCTCTCTCTCCCTCCCTCCCTCCCTCCCTCCCACCTCCTCTCTCCCTATCTCTCCCTCCCTCTCCCTCCCTCCATGTTTCTCCCTCCCTTTCCCACCCTCGCTCCCTCCCTCTCTCTCCCTCCCTCTCTTTTCCTCTCCCCCTCCCTCCTCCCTCTCTCCCTCCCTCTCTCTTTCCTTCTGGGCATATGACTGCCTGCAGGTGCTGATGGGCATATCCCGGCATATCCCTTCCCCATCACAGCGTCAGCCCTTGTCCAGCATGATGCTCATCATGGTGTCCCGTCTTGGTCCCCGCCGCCCTCCCTAGAGCGGTTCTGAGACTGTGGCCCAGGGAGAAGCAGCAGGCACCGGCCTCGCTTTGCAGTCCTGCTCTGGGGGCTGCCGAGGCCTCAGAGGACAGTCCTGTCCTTCACCCCAGGGCACCCCGGTGGCTTATCTGCCCGACCTTGCCCAAAGGACTGACCAAGTGGTGGTGCCCAGCCTGCCCGCAGCAGTGTGGGACAGACAAGCCCCCAGTAATGCCAGGGGTGTGGGGGAAGGGCGGAGGAGGCAGGGAGGGGGGGTCCAGGCCTCTGCCCTGAGCAGGAGGAGGTGTGGGCGGGTGTGGGTCGGGGCTGGGTCCCGCAGGTTCCCAGGAGGCAGGGCCCTGAGCGAGACCCTGCATGGGCCCCACAGCCATGGGTGGCCGGGCCCTGGGCAGAGGCTGAGGTCGGGCACGGGGCTGGGAGAGGCCTGTACCCGGGGTGCCGGGACGGGCAGGGGAGGCCACCTGGGCAGTGCGGGGAGGGGTCGGCAACTAAACCAAGGGAGGGATAGGCCAGAAGGCCATCGCCCGCCTCCAGCTGGCCCGCACAGCGCTTGCCTCTGGCCCCCCAGAAGGGCCCCGCCAAGGGGTCCAGGGCACAGGGGATTCTTCCACACCACGGCCACAAAACTCCTGCAGTCCCCGGTTTCGCCAGCAGGGGGCACAGCGCGGGGCGTGAGGGCACGTGATAAACGCTCTTGCACCCCACTGGTCAGAATTCGGTCACGTGGCGACATGTCCGCAAGGATGGCTGGGAAATGTAGTCCCACCCACGTGCACATGTGGCCCGAGGAATTGGTGTGCTGGAGGCAACTGCAGGCGAGTTTTACTGATGTGACGGTTCAACAGTCCTCTGTGCTCAGGGACTGCTGGCGATGCTCAGGACTTACTCCTGGCTCTGCATGCAGGAATTACTCCTGGCGGTGCTCAGGGAACCATATGGGATGCCAGGGATCAAACTCTGGTCGTCTACATGCCAGGCAGATGCCTTCCCCGCTGTACTATCACTCTGGCCCCTGTATGTGTGCTTTATAGTATGCAACTATTAGGATTTTGCGTGCAGTCAGATCTCTAATGTGCCCTGCGTGCTTTCTGGGTTGATATCTCTCATGCGAGCAAGCCGGGTTCCGCAAAGGATTCAGCACCATCGACCATATCCACACAATAACCAAGCTCATTGAGGTTTCTCGGGAGTTCAAGATACCACTCTGTTTAACGTTCATTGATTTAAAGGCCTTTGATTCTGTTGAGATGGAAGCGGTCATTGAAGCCCTAGCCAATCAGGGCATTCAAGCTCAGTACATCAAGATCCTCCATGAGCTGTATTACGGATTCACTACCAGGATCTCACCATTCTACAAAGAAGTAATCATTGATGTCAAGAGAGGGGTGCGGCAGGGTGATACCATTTCACCAAAACTCTTCAGTGCCACCCTCGAGAACATCATGCGACGACTGGAATGGGAAGGAATGGGAGTGAAGATAGATGGTCGGCAATTACACCATCTCCGCTTTGCTGATGACATTGTTTTAATAACACCAAACATCAGCCAAGCGGCAAAAATGCTGGCCGACTTTGACCGTGAGTGTGGAAAGGTAGGACTACAGCTGAATCTTACGAAGACAATGTTTATGAGAAACAGCCTCATTCCTGACGCCCCATTCGCTCTCAACGGAACGACCATCTCCAAATGCAACAGCTATGTGTACCTAAGTTGAGAAGTCAACATGATAAATGACCTGGCACCCGAGCTGCGCAGGAGGAAGAGAGTGGCTTGGAATGCCTTCAAGAGCGAGGAAGAAATAGCTAAGAGGACGAAGAACCTCTGGCTCCAGGCACATCTCTTTGATTCCACTGTTCTTCCTGCATTAACATATGCCTCAGAGACCTGGGCACTACGCAAACAGGATGAGAATGTTATTCGGATCTCTCAAAGAGGAATCGAAAGCTATGCTTGGAGTATCACGCTTCACTCAACTGAAAGAAGGAATCTGGAGTTCCGACATCCATCAACAATCAAGAATCAGGGACGCTGTCTCGTTTCCCACTTAATCACTTAATCGCTTAACTTCCCATTAGTCGTCGATTTGCTCGAGTGGGCGCCAGTAACGTCTCCATTTGTCCCTGTCTCATGCTAGTGTAGCCCAATGGCATCTGTTCGCTCCGGGAACATGAAGGGCCTCAAACCGATCGTTCATGATCTTGATGAAGAAGTCTGACCATCTGGTAGGTGGGCGACCACGCGGTCTTTTGACATCCCGTGGAATCCAATCAGTAACAGCTCTAGTCCAACGGTCGTCTTTAAATCTCATTACGTGACCAGCCCATCTGATTTTCGACACCTTGG